TCATCCTTCGAGGACCAAGTGCTGGCAGTGCTTTTATTTCTACGTCATGGCTGATGTCGATGCATTCGATGAGCCGCCCGGCGATCATTTCCGTGTAGAGTGGAGCCGTAGTATCGGTATTTCGCCGATACCGAGCGATTGATGTCTCTGTGTTCTCTTGACTGATTGTTCGCCAGAGTGATTTCCGGCTGCTCCTTCATGGGTTTCGGCCATGACTAAACGAGTTTCCTCACCATGAATGCACGTCAGAAGGACGTTGTTGGCTGTCCGGCGATATAGTTTACCGTCCTTGACGGTGTAGTTTGAGCACTTGGTTTTTAATCGACATGCTTCCCACTTATTCGTTGGAAATGCTCCGTTCATCAGATAGTCGAGGAATGGGATTCTCCAATCGGGGGGCTGTTCATTCGCTTCATCGGTCACCATATGGTCCATTTCGGAGATCGTTGCTACCACTGCGTCGTCTCCTTCAGAAGACGTGATACTTGGTCGTTCGATATGCTGAATAGGTATCGTCCGGCTTACTTGGTCGCGGAGGTTACTACCGAGTGCCGCTAAGGCATCTGCGCAAACATTCATCCCACAAGAAATTTTTGTTAGTTTGAAGGACTCAAACTTTTTGACGAGGTCTTGAACTACGCGGACATATGCGTCCATTCGTTCATTTTTTGCGTCGTAGTCCCCGTTAAACTGATTTGCGACTAACTGAGAATCGCAGTATGCGTGGACCCGCTTGGCTCCAACGGCTTTGGCGAGGCGTAGGTAAGCAATGAGAGATTCATACTCTGCTTCATTGTTGGAGGCTTTGAAATCTAGCCGGAACGATTGGCGTATCTATTTGCCCGTTGGCGACTGTAATTGGACGCCGATTCTGGATCCTTTCCTTGAAGATGATCCATCGACATGCAGTATCCAATGCCCGTTGGCAAGATGAGATCCTGCTCGAGCTCCGGGGGGAGCTCGATAATAAAATCGGATAGAACCTGAGACTTTTCGGCTAGCTTGCCTTGGTATGTGACCTTGTGTTCGCTGAGTTCGATTGCCCATTTAGACAGTTAGCCCGATTGGTTGGTATCCTGCATGATTGTGCGCAACGGTTTGTTTGTTAAGATGACGATCGAGTGAGATTGTAAATAAGGTCTGAGCTTTCTCGCCGAGGTAATGACCGCGAGGGCCATCTTTTCGAGGGTCGAGTACCGTGTCTCAGCGTCGGTCATCCTTTCGCTTGTGTAAAAGATTGGCTGCTGTTCGCCGCGATCTTCCTTGATGAGGACGCTGTTGACGGCTATCGAAGAGACCGCGATGTAAAGGTAAAGCGTGTCCCCTTTTTCTGGTTTAGCCATTACGGGCGGCGTTGTGAGGTAGTGTTTCAATTGGTTGATCGCCTCTTCACACTTCTCATCCCAAACGAACTTCTTATTGCCGCGCAACAGGTTGTAGAAAGGGAGGCACTTGTCGGTCGACCGTGAAATTAATCGGTTGAGTGATGCCACTCGTCTCGTTAGCCTCTGCACTTCTCGACTATTTTTGGGGCTCGGTAGATCTAGGATCGCAGAGATTTGCTTAGGATTTGCCTCGATTCCCCTCTGTGTTACAATGTAACCGAGAAATTCGCCGGACGTAACCCCGAATGTGCATTTATTCGACCGTCCTACCAGGGAACTTGATACATTGGTGGTAGGTTGATGGAATTGCCTTCATCGCGTGGATCCACGGTGTTCCAAGGATCACGTTGTACGGAGTTTTTACGTCGATTATCGAGAACTTGACATTCTTGTTTACGCCTTGAACTTGGACCCGTAATCGAATGGTACCGAGCATCGTTTCTGATGATCCTTTGAATCCTGTCATGGATCGTGTGGAAGGCTTGATTGTGTAGAGATCGATCCTTATTTTTTTGAAGAGTCTCTTTGAAGATGAAGTTGACCGAACTCTCGGTGTCGACGAGGACTTTAGTTACTACGCAATCTCCAATTCCAAGCTCGATGAGGAGGGAATCGTTATGGGGCATGTGAACTCCTTTGGCGTCCTCAGCGGAGAAGGTGATCTGGGGAACGTTTTCCCAGATGGTGCATCGGTTCTGTGCGGTGACTGCTCTCCTGCAGAAGTCTTTAACTGAACGGACTGAGTCGATATGAGGAGGCGACCCTCCCAAGATCACGTTCAATTGCTTGGGCGCGTGTAAGCGTTTCGACTTTGCATCGTTCAATAGAGCACGTAGATCCTCCGTTGTTTCGTCATTCTTGGTGGTCGATCGATTCAGTTTGTTGCGAAAATCACCGACTCGTGAGTTGATTATTGATCGAAGGTCGCTTTTCTTAGCGTCAAGCCGGTGGCGGGCGTCTATCGTATTCAGCTTCCTGACTTTCGAGGTTGCGATCGTCCTTCGTAGGTCCTCAAGAGAAGGTTTAACGATCATCTTATCGTTCTTCCGTTTGAGGGATTCACGCCGATCGTGTTGTGATTGTGGGTCGTTCTCTTACGTGTCCTTCGAGGTAGATGGATCGGTTTGTCCTTTCTTCTCTGGTTTGTCGCCTGTTGGGGAAGGAGCAGGAGTCGTCTTGAGTGCGAAAATCTTCCAGCGGGATGTGGGTTTCTCTTCGTCAGAGTCAGATTCGTCTTCGTTCGAAAGGACGGCATCCTTCTTTGAGGGAGATCGATCGGCTGAATTGCTGCGATCGTTACTCTTCCTATCTTTACTCTTTCATGTGCCTTTGCTATTTGCCTCGGGCTGTTGCTTCGGGGGTTCGGGATGAGCGTGTTTCTCGAGGAAACCCGTCATGAGGAAGTTTTTGAGATGGTTTCATTCATTTGTCTCGTGTCCATACGCTTTGTGGTAGCCGCACCACTTGGTCGCGTCGTAAGTGCTATTGGCAGGATTCATTCGGACGGCCTGCTTCTTTCCATCAACTTCCAACGTCCACTTGTTGCTCTGTTGTCCTCAGACAGCTAACGCCGGGTCTGGCTGTTTCTCATCTGGATGGCATAAACGAGGCCTTTCTTTTTATCCGGCTTATTGTAAGATGTGTGCTGCCTAGGTTTGTGGTGACCTTCGGCTGCCTTCAAAGCGGTCTGCTTTAGCTCGTTTTGTTTTTTGACGAACAATCGCTTGTCCTCCTCCAGCCGGATAAAATTCTGGGATCGATGTAATGCGTCTTGGAGGGAAATCGTGGGATTCAAGTAGAGATTGTCTCTAAATTTGGAATGTATCCATAACAAATTTTGTAGAGCTTCGACGGCCGTTTAATCATGAATCTCGATCCGTGTACCACCTTTTTGAATTCTTCCATGAAATCCCTGAGGCTTTCGGTGGCCGATTGCGAGATCTTCCACAAATCTGCCGAGGTCGCTTCTTGGCGAGTGAACATAATGTAATGTTTCAAAAACTGCGCCGATAGGTCGTGGAAGTTGTTTATTGATCCTTCGGTCAGTCGCGAAAACCAGGTTAGTGCCGGTCCGGAGAGGCTTTCGATGGAGAGTTGGCAAAAACCCGCGTCTTTCTCCTCGTCGGAGAAGTTCGTCCTCCCCCATCGCTATATTGAATGCTGCACATGGTCGGTGGGATCTGTCTCGCCGGCGTATGTCGGGAGACAAAGCTTGTTGATCTTCCTGATTTTGGTATCCGTGATCCGCTTCGTGAACGGTTCTTTAGCGTGGTAGCGAGGACGCGTTCGATCTCTTGGGCCGAGGTTGTGACATGGTGTATCTTAGAGTGAATATCTTTTATCGACATCCTTAACTCATCGATCTGGAGTTTGGTGGCGGCGTCCAGTCCGTCGGTTGTTTGACCAGCGGGGTTAGTTTCATGAGTTGCTTCACCAATCGGAGGACTGGCGCCGGCAGGCGTCGGAAGTAAAGAGTAGCCGGCGTCTGGCCGTCTCCGTTTCTCTGGCATCACCGTCGGTCGCGGTGAGAGCAGCAGAAAGCGCGGTTAATCGTTCGTTCATGACTATGTTGGTTTCCTCCTGTCGTTCGAGGTGGTTCATGATGCGCTGCATCATGTCGTCGGCCGCCGGAGTCGCGGCGACCGGTCTTTGTACTGGTGTGTCGTCGGCGGGAGAGTCGTCGGGACGCATACTGATTTCGTTAACGCTACATCGTAAGGCTCCATGGTGGGCGCCAATTGTTGAATCTGAGTTTCGTATGGTCAACTGACTGGAAAACTAAACTCGATTTGAGGGTTCTTCGAAGGCATTTTATTAATCAGAGTTGATAACAAGAGGAGATTACCGAAAGATTCAAGGAAGGAACAAAGGTTGGAGCTTTATGAAAGTCCGACCAGATTACAAAGAGGTTCGATCGATAGTAAAACCCTAAATCTTGCCGTCAGTGTTCTTGTCTCAGTTTTAGGATCCTCTTCCTTTTGTCCTCTCACTTCCTTTTATAGCTCCCGTTTGACCTTGTCTCCCATTTCCTAAAGCTCGTTTACCCTAGAAAGTTTGGGCCTAAACTCGCTTAATGGGCTTTTACGAGTTAGAAGTAAACCGGTCGGACCGTCATTATCCGGTTAGGTCAATTAAATTCGTTCGTCTTCCCGGTAGGTCTGACCTCTAGACCGATTGCGAATGACGATTGGTTTGGCCTAATTATTTGATGGCCTAATGGAGGGAAATGGAATTCCTCTCCAACATCACTGTTTATCAATAAGTCATGGACCTGAATGCCACTGTTCACTGGGTGGAAACATAATGTTAGGTTCTGAATGCTTTATGTCAGTGCTACACATGTATGAGACCTTTGATTGGTGGAGGAGAGCTGATTATCTGAAAGTCCATTTTGCTGAGAGCTGGAATGAGATGCACCACTTGCTCATTACGGAAGTAAGAACCAAACTTTTCTCCCATTTCCACGAGTTCCATACTCTTAACTCACGTATAAAAGTAAAACTGAGTGTCTCTGATCGCAGTAATTGGGTGGAAACTCATGGTGGTTTGATCGTTTTCTAGCTCATCATATTGCAGTCTTTTACTACCTCATGACGGTGTTCTTTAAGCCCTAGAATGGCATGTAAGTCTCTTTTTCCCTTTTAAAACTTCGAAAGGGAAGAAACTTCTTTTGGTCGACATTACTTCAACAACGTTTGTTAACTGATGCAGATGACTTTTCGGAATGTGTGGAGAGTCATGCATTTGAGACTTATGATATGTTTTTCAAGGCCAGTGGAGGTTGGTTTTAACATTGTCAATACTCGTTTGACCCATCTTTTTCCAGAATCACACAACATACTTCAATGATTTTTACACTTTGGTTTGTCTTTTGTCTTAACAGAAGAGTTGAAAAAATCACATGCACCTGATATAGCAGTAAAATACTACACTAGAAGTGACTTGTACTTCGTTGGTAAGTTCATCCTTCTTTGTTTTATCAATGTTCTTTGAGTTCTTAAGTCTTTGTTCCTTTGAGTAGTAGGAGTCTCTCAAAATGGCTCTCTTTTGTCCCTTCCAAACATCCAGAGCTCCCAATACTCGAAGGCCAGTCATAGGTAGTGATTCAAACTTTATAATTCTTCGAGATCAATAGTCTCTTAAGAACTCAAATGGACTGAGCTTGGGTCAAAACATTAGTGACTTCTTACTTTGGTGTTGCTTTTTAAGATTCTCTAACGTTGTGTTGTGATTATGTTGGGGGGCAGAAATTTATACGATGTGTTTGTGAGAACACAAGAGACGATGAAGCAGAGCATTGCAAGACAATGAGAGCTTGTCAGACTCTTGGAAGTCTCCGTTCTTCACATTCCATTAGAGACGACGAAGATTGTAATGAAGAATCAGGATGTGGTGTTCCTGAGGAGGCTCATTGTGAAGGTATTGTAGACTCTGCATCAAGAAATCCATCACTAACGGAATCAAGAAGCAAAAATAATACTAGTAAGATTATTTGTATTTACTTTATGTTGAGGAATAGATATATTGGATCCAAATATACAAAATCATTGAATGTATCATTCCCTCAAAAAGCTCTTTGGTATTTGCGTTAGCATCTCTCTTCCTTTAATGGTTTTTGCTGGGCCAAAGTGTATTAGGGGAGACGACGTCGTATATAGGGACATCTCATGTGGGAAAAGCTTTGAATCACACGCCCCTTTTTATAATTTACTTCTCTTTTTTTTTCCACTTTTTCTTTTATGTTTTTGTTTTCAAATGATTGTTTCCGTCAGAAAATGATTTAAAAAAAAAAAAAAACAATCGGTTCATATTACTGTATACTATATATGATACGGTATTGAGATTTTATCGGTCCGGTTGTTATTAAATTTTAAATCATTCGCCTTTATTTCAGATTTTAGCGTTAGTTTAGTGTTGAAAATAATTTATCTATGTCCGATTAATGATTTAGTTAATTGAGTATGAAACTTTGAAATCTGTTGGAGGATATCCTTTATCAACGAATAATGAACTGTAGTTATTCTTGGATTTTGTTTTTATTCAAGACTCTTAACTTTTTTGTTTAAAATAAAAAAAATAAGACGTACAGTTACAGAAACAGCATTAACTTTTTCGTAAAATAATATTCCTTTAACTTCCAGTAGGATTTTTTGTTTGTTTCTACCCGAAATTCAGAAGAACTAACATTATAGTTTTATTTTTAAAAACAAAAAATAATAACACTATAGTTGCACCATAGCGTACGGCTTTGTCTGGTGATCATTCACTAATTAGTCTTTTTGACAAAAAAAAAATTCCTAGTATAAAATAATATAGAAAATATGTTTGACATACATAAATAGAATGTTTGGAATAATGCACATATTTTTGTTTCTGCAAACAAAACTCAACTTTATACTAGTTTAAGTTCTAAAAATATTTGATTCCCCAGTTGGAGAGTTTTCAGTTTATTTTAGTGTGATTCCCCTAATTTTAAAAATATTTTAAACAATATTAATTCGTGTGAAATAATATATATTCGGAAACAACTTTAAACCAAAAAGATACATAATTCGTTTAAAGAAAATTGAAAAGTAAAAGAAGCTCTGAAAAGCCTTTATAAAATCAATCATCACAATCACCGCGAGACCCCAAAGATCTCAACAATCTCTCCCAAATAGTGTGATTCTCTTTCACTATCAGAGAGCTTCTTTATAACTGAGTCGACAATGAGTGAACTCGAACTCGGAACGAGTCAGAATATGACGACTGAGACGCACCGCACGACGACGTTTCTTGACTTGCTCAGACGCCAGATGAGCGGTGTGGATCGCACAAGAAGGAAGCGGACTCTCAAAGAACGGTTGAGATTCAAATGCATCGGATGCTGTGGGCCCGACACAACTACTCATCACAGTTCAACACTCTCAAGTGAGGACGAAGCCGAAGAACAAAGTGAAACCCGATTCGTTCCCGGGTCGGGTTCGGGTATGAACCTCGCGACGGCGTTAGAGGCGGAGAGATATAACCGGGGAGATCAGACGGAGGTTGACATGACGCCGACGAGAGTGTCGTTGATGAGGTTGTTGGATGAGACGGCGGAGAGAGCCGTTGATGACGGAAGAGAGACGGAGATATGTACGGCGTTAACGGGGAATGATTCGGTGTGCTGCGTGTGTATGGGAAGAAAGAGAGGCGCTGCGTTTATCCCCTGTGGACACACTTTTTGCAGAGTCTGCTCTAGGGAGCTCTGGCTCAACCGTGGCTCGTGTCCTCTTTGCAACCGTCCGATCATCGAGATCCTAGATATATTCTGAGACGAATCGGACGGCTGAGAGTTCTCGATCAATATTGACTAGCTACATTGAGTGTGATAGGCGTCGGGACAAAGTTTTATTACGGTTTGTACAGTTCGTTTCTTTTGCTATCAGATTATGTAAATGCCAAAGAGGAGATTCTGTTTACAAGCCCATTACCTCAATTGTAAGCCCAATAAGCACTATCCGTGACTAATCATGTAAGCAAGCATATACAGTAGTAAGATTTCTTGCCAAAAACAAAGACTCCTCAGTTAACAGATTCGATAAAAATCACGGGTTATGTTGATGTGCTTGGTCAAAACTCAAAAGATTGATCTTATTCTGATCAAAGGCTGCTTAGTGCTTACTTCCCTATAAGATACAACCTCGCATGTTGATTGGGGTAGTTTAGGAGGGTTGCTTAGAGGTTTTTTTAAACATAGGCCCAACAAAATAGTTAAGCACCATTGCTTAAAGTACTTAATTAAGCAATCTGTTTTGGCTGTTGCTTGCACTGTTTGCGGGTCCCGTTGATACGTGGCGGTCTACGATTAGTTCATTATTATTATTTTTTAAATAAGAAAAAAAAATTTAAGCAACTATATCGAGCCAACAATCATTGAAATTCTCTTGGCCAGGAGACTGTTGAAATTCAAGGAAATTATCTTACAAGATGTGTTAAATAGATGTAAGAAAATGTAAACCTCAATTGAAAACATTTTGTAAACCGAGTATGGGTTGAGTCAAAACTCAAATTCAAATTAAAGTAGCAAAACCGGCCAAAAACCGTAGCTCAGGTCAGTATAAAAACTCGGTACAACCAAATACTAAACTAAATTCATTTATAGTGATGTACAAATGGTAACTTTTTATTTGATTCCAAAATCAAAATCAATTCTCTCCATTTTTAGTTTTTACATGCCTTTCCTTCACACTTACTATATTTGATCATATATTGATGGTTATTCATGCTTGTTCTGTATTCGTAAAGGTTGATTTAGTATTAATATATGTCTTATTAAATCAGAAACATTGGGTTAGCCCTCACATTTATTTTTTTAAGTTTTTTTACTTTTTTTGTTTTGTTTTGAAACATAAGTTTGTTTTTAAATTAAATATATCTTTCTACTTTATAATTTAACTTACATTAAATCATTAATATTTATTTCCTTATATTACAATTCATGATTCCAAACAATATACTAATTTCTATATACTTCTATCCATGTTTCCAAACAATATACTTATTCTTTATACTACTATCCATGTTTCCAAACAATGCTGTAACTATTCTTATGTCCAAATAATACAAAATATTAGATCTTATTTTTTTTAAATAATTTCTCACAATTTTCTTTTAAATTATTTATATAAAATAAATAAGCTAAAAATTCAAATAATTTATAAAGCAAAGAAAATAAATAAACTTATTTTTACATGTTTAAATATTACATATCAGTTATCCATCGGTTCAATCGGATAGTCTCGGGTTTTAGTATTTTTTTTTTAAATATGGATATTTTTGTCCAAATTGAATTATTGGATCACCGGTTATCTGATTTAACCACAGTTCTGACTGAATTTAAAAATAATGATTTAAATACAAAAATATTTGAAATACATAAATTCTTTCAGATTACCAAAATATTTGTTAAGTTATTAATGATATTTTTTTTTTTAAGTTTGAGTTTGACCTAACCTATAAAATAAAGAGAAAATGACTAGAATAGACCTAAAAAGGTTTTTTTCACAAATATATACATTAACAATTAAAATGACCAAAATAGCACTTAAATGTTTTATTAAATATACATTTATACCCCTTGGATTAACTAATTCTAGATTTTTTTTTGTTTAGAGTTGAGGAGTGAGTTATGGGGATAGAGTTTCGAATTTAAAAAAAATAAGAAAACTTAAAATTGTCAAAATAAAAAGTGCTATTTTGGTCATTTTTAATTTTTGAGGTCTATTTTGTGATAAAAAAATTAAAAGAGGGCTATTTTAGAGAATTGCCCTAAAATAAAAATTAATACCAGTATTTCGAAACCCGACCATGTGCCATAGGTTAATCGGTAAACCCAGTGACCTAAGATAAATTTGGTTTGGGTTATATTATTTTAGACTAAAAGTTCTAGAAATTTGTATATTATTAAAAAATGGATATATTATTAACATCAGTGACGTAACTTAACTCTCAACTTATTTTTTAACGCAAACTGTTAAGTTTAAATTTGATTTTGCACTTCGAGCAAACATACAAAATTAGTGTTTTCAATGTACGATTACATCTACATAATACACTGCTTGACACTATTAATACATAAGACATTTTTGATATTGTTCTTTAAACATAAAATCGAATTAGACAAACTCGAAACTATATAAAACTAACTTATATGGAATACATCGGAGAAATAAAATCCGCGCGTTCGTGGGTCATAATCTAGTGAATTGTTAAATTTAATTGGTTACTAGAATCGAACCCGCACCAAGCGCGGTTATTTTCACCTTTATAGTGATAAATATTTTGTTTTATATGATAAATTAATTAAATATGTACTTTAATGTATTGTATTGTGTTAAATTCATGTATATTATTTAATTTTTAATACATATTGTATTCTGGTATAGGTTGTTTTGGGTACAATATTTTTTTTGTCTATACATAATGTGTCAGTCGTTTCTTTTAAAAATTATATTATCTGAATTGGTTTGTTAGATGAATAATATATAAATATAAAAGATTGTGAACTACTTAATTTACATGGTATCTAAATAAATATACTGTAATAAATCATCTAAAATTTTCAAAATTTAAAATATTTATTAATGAATAAAGTATCTTCAAATCGTAGTATATAGAATTAATACAGTTTTATTGTTGAAATTAGGTATTGTGTATCTAATCTGGAAGCCAGGAAAATATTCGATAGCCATATTCCGACTTTGAAGATTAGTGAGGTTATTGATTTTTGTATTTTAATGTATTTGAAAATCTAAACTAAGTATAATAGTATTCATTATATACTGAAAATCATGCGTTATTGGTTTCATGATTTATAAATTCTAATCAATCAGGTGTTACTCAATCCTACGAATTTACTAATGAATTTGATTTCATAATGGATTTGAAATGATTTGAATTCTTTATTAAAAATAAAAAGACTCAAATCCGAGAAAAGAACTACAGATTTGTAAACACTAATTAGAATTCAAATGTTAAATTTGACAATATTTATATTTATATGGATTGTAAATACTATATGAACTTTAAAATTAGTTTATATAGAGTTTTAAAAAAAAACGTAGTACTTAGGAGATTTTAAAATCAAATAATGTGTCAAGATTAAAATTTGGGGATGTATATTCCAAAATAATTGATAAGGGAAAATATTCATTAATTATAATGTTAATAGAGTATTTTTTAAATTTAAATAAAATATATTTTCTCTTGTCTATTATTATTTATAATTAAGTGGAATATGTAGAGAACATTTTGAAACTATATTATTTCATGAGTATAGTTTAGACATTTATATGGTTTACATTTACATATGTAAATCTAAAATTACAAAACGAATGTTTATAGTGTTTAGTATAGGTTAAATGTTTGAGCACAAAATGTTTGTCTAGCCAGTTACATTTAAATTTTATATGCACCATTATTCCAAAAATGTTTATACTTTTTCGTAGTATAATTTGTAAGTGTCAAAGTGAGTTTTGGTATATGAAAAAAATGTATCAAATCGGTTATAAAATAATGTGATATAGTATGAGAAATGCCAGTTATAAAATACAATAAAAATATGAGAAATGCATAGTTAGAGTAATTAGGGGGAGCTGAAATAATGTAATAACAACGAATGGTCGTTGCATATTGCATGGTTTATCTGACCATGTCGGTTAATATCAAGCGGACAATATATTCTAAAACTAATATTATCTATATATAAATAAGATCTTTGGTTAGATTTGTTTGTTACTAATATTCATAAGTAAATTATACATTAATGAATTAGTCCAAATAACTTTTTATTAGTAGATAAAAAATAGGACTCCAAATTAATAGAGTCTTATTTTTTAAATAAATTAATTTATACATGTCATTTGATTTTGTTTGAATATTTATGAAAATTAGTCAAATAGTTAATGGCATGATAGTAAAAGATAGTGTATAAAATACTTATTATAGGAATATTATTTATTCTTGATATAATATGATGTCTATGATACAACATATTTTATACTTTGAAATAATATTATTATTATATTTTATTACTCTTGTATGTGTAAAAGATTTAAGTTTAAGGCTTGACCATAAAATACTCATATACTTTGGAGAATAATCCCAAACTAAGGTATAATCATTAAAATGTGATTACCTAAAGCTCATTATGTATTTTGCATCTAAAGATTACAAGACTTAAAATCTGTTAATGAATACTCTGTTGAGAGTTATGCAAATATATTGAAGAATACATACTCGTAATTGAGTAATGTTGTCTAGCAGACACATAATTGAGAAGTTTATACTTGTATTTTTGTTTCCTCTGAGACTAAGAAAACAGTGAGCTATTTCTTTAAGATCATAAATCACGTTTAGTTGGTTATGATTCATTCTGTTGAAGAGAATTTAACACTTTGAGAAAGAAAATTCACACAACTAATTGTGGTAAAGAAAGTGAAAATAAAAGTTATTGTAAACGTGAATGTGGATAGATATATGGTTATGGTCAAGGTCAAGACCATAAGAGTTTCTTTTTAGAACTCATATTCTCATTTAAAGTTGAGAAATAAAAATGGTAATAAAGAAAATATATTATTTAATCATCTAAAGATGAAAATGTTTTTTTTTAGAACTCATATTCTCACTTAAAGTTGAGACATAATGGTAATAAAGAAAATATATTAATTCAATCATCTAAAGATGAAAAAGTTTCTTTTTACAACTCATATTCTCACTTAAAGTTGAGAAAATAAAGATGGTAATAAAGAAAAATATATTGTTCAACCATCTAAAGATGAAATAATATCTTTTCTGAACGTATATTATCATTTGAAGTTGAGAAAAAAGATATGGTGATAAAGAAGATATATGATTCAATCATATAAGTATAAAAGAAAACTATTGTGAGTACATTACAAGGTCTTATAAACCTTATCAAATCTTCAAAGAGAAAATATATATGAATACTCGAGAAGAGTACATAAGCAATCCTTGATGTATTATATTCTCATAAGTCTT